GCTGGGTCTCAGGCAGGCTGGCGTATGCAGTCTCCCCCCCTTTGGCTGGGGGTCTCAGGCAGGCCGGCATGTGCGGTCTCCCCCCTTTGGCTGGGGGTCTCAGGCAGGCTGGCATGTGCGATCTCCCTCCTTTGGCTGGGGGTCTCAGGCAGGCTGGCATGTGCAATCTCCCCCCTTTGGCTGGGGGTCTCAGGCAGGCTGGTGTGTGCGGTCTTCCTCCTTTGGCTGGGGGTCTCAGGTAGGCTGGCGTGTACGGTCTCCCCCCGTATCCTTGGGGGTATTGGCAGAGTTCGCCACGAGTGTACTGCCACTGCGGAGAGGTGTGAACCTCGCTACCTTCTCCTTTCTGGCCGCACCAGAGGAGAAGATAGTAACAGGGGTGGTGAAAGCCGCACCTCTCGTCCTGCGCGGCAGGATGAGAGGTGGAGGGGGGTCATTCAGCTGCACAAAGAGAAATGAAGCCGGAGACAGGGGATAACAGTGTGGGCCATGTGACAATGGAATTTGGGGACATTTGGCAAGAGGACATGGAGGAGGATATACGTTAATGGAATTTGGGACAATTAGCAGGGTGAGGAGGAAATACGCTAATTGAACATTTGGCAGGGTGACACAGAGGACATACATTAATTGAATTTGGGAACATTTGGCAAAAGACAGTAAGGGATGTATTAAGGATGTACTTCTTTTGGGCACAAGGGATTAATGTGGGGATTAAAGCAGAAATTAATAATTGGCAGAGCACCTATATTGTGACACTCCTACATACAAACACCAGAGGTCACAATACTTCTTAGAAAACAGTGAGACAAATAGAGTTATAGGCAACATCTCAATAATCACATGGTAATATTACAGTCAAGATTTGTAAGTGAAATTAAATGAAATGCTGTGTCAAGAAACTCAATTCACAAAGCAATATCACGTGCAATATTTGCATCAAGTGATTCATTTGATCCACATATCACATATTATATTGAAAATTTGAATTAATTATCAGTTTTTTAGGTATTTTCAATAAAAATAAGAAACGCCTGGTAAATATCACATAAACTGATCTAAAAGTCAATTCACAAAAAAATAAAACAAATAAATACATTAAATAAGTTGTGGTCTAGCTGTGCATTATTTAACCACTTGACTTCCAGAAGGTTTTACTTCCTGACCAGGGACTTTATTTTGCTATTCAGCAATGCGCTTCTTTAATTGGTAATTGCGTGGTCATGCAACGCTGTATCCAAACAAAATTTATATACATTTATTCACACAAATAGGGCTTTCTTATGGTGGTATTTGATCACCACTGAGTTTTTTATTTTTTGCAATATAAATGAAAATTTTGAAAAAAAAATGATATTTTCTACTTTCTGTTATAAAAAATATCAAATAAAATCAAATTTTGTCATAAACGTAGGCCAAAATGTATTCTGCTACATGTCTTTGTCAAGCAAAACACCAATAAGTGTATATTAATTGGTTTGTGTGCAAGTTATAGCATCTACAAACTATGGTATAAATATTGGAATTTGCGCAGCTTTTACTTTCTGACTGCCTGTCACATTTCATATGACGTCCTCCCAGAATACGCCCCTCCCGCACGCCCCCAGGGGCGCGCACCTGGTGATCTCTGTGATTGCTGTGTCCTACGGACATAGCTGAACACATGATGAAGTAAAAGGCCAATCTCAGCAGCCTTTTACCACATGATCAGCTGTGTCCAATGACACAGCAGATCACAGAGTAAATACAGTTGCCGGTTACCGGCAGCACTTTCCTCACGCTGTCACACCATGAGGAAAGTACTGCTGATAACTGGCAGCTGTCAGAGGAGATCGTCACTGATCATCAGCGCACTGATGATCAGTGCCCTGCAGTGTCGCCCACCAGTGCCCAGCAGTGCCACCCATCAGAGCCCAGCAGTAACACCCACCAGTGCCCAGCAGTGCCATCCACCAGTGCCCAGCAGTGCCTCCCATCAGTGCCCAGCAATGCCCCCTACCAGTGCCACCCATCAGTGCCCAGCAGTGCCACCCATCAGTGCCCCCAGCAGTGCCACCCATCAGTGGTGCCCATCAGAGCCCATCAGTCAGTGCCTTCAGTCCCATCAGTGCCCATCATAGCCACCTATCAGTGCCTCCAGTCAGTGCCGCCAGTCAGGGCTGTCATTCAGTGCCCTCAGTCAGTGCTGCCCATAAGTGTCGCCCATCAGTGCCACCTATCAGTGCCCATCAGTGTTGCCTATCAGTGCAGCATCATCAGTGCCTCCTCATTAATTCCCACCAGTGCCACTAAATAAGTACCACCTCATCACTGCAGTCTATCAGTGCCCATCAGTACTGCCTATCCATGCCACCTCATCAGTGTCCATCAGCACACATCAGTGAAGGAAAAAAATTACCTGTTTGCAAAATTTTATAATAGATGAAAGAAAAACTTTTTTTCAAATGTTTTGCTCTTTTTTTGTTTATAGCACAAAAAATAAAACACCCAGTGGTGATTAATTACCAGCAAAAGAAAGCTCTATTTGTGTGAAAAACATTCTAAAAATGTCATATGGGTACAATGCTGTATGACCGCGCAATTGTCATTCAAAGTGCGACAGCGTTGAAAGCTGCAAATTGGCTTGGGCTCGAAGGGGGTATAAGTGCCCTGTAGACAAGTGGTTAAACTTAGAAACCAAAATAGGTTTCCATGCAAATGGTCTGGCAAGGTTTGAATTTGGGTTGACGGCAATAAATTGTTGTGCGTATAAACTGCTTTGGTCCACATTCAATTCTGGGTTGGACAGTAAATGGGGGGAAGTAAGGGTGCTGCAGAACTTGCGGGCTGCCAATCAGGATTTGCAAGCACATCCAGAAGGACACTATGGGCTCTATGGGCCTGTGGTTGAATTCTTGGTGGCTGTGGTACTTGTGCTAGCCACTGCAGCAGCTTGTACTACACTTATGGGACTCAACATGATACTGCAGCGTTGGTATGTAAAAGACCAAGAAGTACTAGGCTGCTGGTGCTCGCCAGTTTTCCATAAGGTAGTGTGGAACTAGTACTTGCACTCTGCTACATATGAGAATCATCATACAATTCTAATACCTAAACAATCTGGTTCAGGTACACCTGGTCTTAGCAGGGACCTCTACTCCATTGTCTCAGCTATCTGTAAGAGTGCTGCTCTCTACAGGATTGTATTCTGAACCTGATTCTGTCAGTGAGGCTTCCCCTTTTCTCTCATCTGACATATGCAGAATCCTGTAGCCTCTTCACTAGTATACCTGTCGTTGGACATTTTGTTCACTAAATTTATAGATACCTAGTGCAACTCATGGGAAAAAGAGCACCTGGCTGTCAGGGACTGCTTGAACCGCTACAAAAAAATGTACCTGGTAGTGCTAGCAGAGATCACTGATCAAGCCTTATCTTGCTAATGCTTCAGTTTTGTGTGTAAAGTATCAAGTAACAGTGATCTACTGACACTGCTCTTACTAAGGGGAGGGCATAGGGGCTAAACGCAGGTGCTGGCAGGTGTCAGGGCTGATCCTGCTAACGCTGCATTTTTGGGAACACTATACTATTGTAAACGCTAGCATAGTTCTTATCTGGTTAAAGATATTGATCTGTTCAGTTACTAAACTAGCAATGGAGGTTTATGTTGTGTATGTGGGCGTGTTCCTGGCAATCAAAAGGTTAAATGTAATGGTAATGTCATGGCGGGCAATCTGGTGCTATCTGGGAGGAACGCTAACTAACGCTAATGCTATCTGAAGTCACCCGTGACACTAATACAGTGACTAGTAAAAAATGTGTACACTGTACTAATGACACTGGTGACAGGGCCGTGAAAGGGTTAACTTGGGGGCGATCAGGGGGTTAAATGTGCTTAAGTGTTTTAAGTGTCAGTGCTGCTTCTACTCACATAGATCTGCTTTTTTCTCTCTCTGGAATGGAATATGCTCCAGAGAGAGAAGATTGCATAATTTTTTTAACCACAGGCACAGAATGACCTCTGGTTCAGTAAAACTGATCAGCAGGTCCAGGGCAACATCATTTGCCTGGATCTGGTGAGTGATCAGTGCTGTACCGAATCACAGCACTGCCAAGCAAGGAACATGGCGGGAGCGTGTATCATGTTTATATAGGTAATTTTGCACAGGGAGTGCACTCTGTAGCAGTAAAACTGCTATAGGATGGACTTCAAGTGGTTAATGAATGTATAAAAATGAATAGTTGGTTGTTAAAGAGCCGGGACCTGCCAGCTGTGACTCATCTCTGCTATCCACCAGGGTGCTTTATAAGCAGGGCCCTTCTATTCCTACTGTATTGAACTGTATTGTAATTGTACAGTCTCCCTTTATATTGTAAAGTGCTGCGAAAACTGTTTGCGCTATATCATTCCAGTATAATATTAATAATACAAAACAACCAGTACAGTTAGAAACAAACAAAAAAATGGCATGGGGGTTCCCCTGCAAGCTATACCAGGCTATTTTGGTCATGTATGAATTTTAACCACTAGCCTACAGGGCACTTATACCCCCTTCCTGCCCAGGCCAATTTCCAGCTTTCAGCGCTGTCACACTGTGAATGGCAATTGCGCGGTCATGCAACACTGTACCCATATGAAATTTTTATCATTTTTTTGAGACAGATAGAGCTTTCTTTTGGTGGAATTTAATCACCTCTGGGATTTTTATTTTTTCTTAAACAAACCTAAAACCACTGAAAATTTTGAAAAAAAAAATGTTTTTTCTTAGTTTTTGTTATACAATTTTGTAAATAAGTGATTTTTCTCCTTCACTGATGTGCTCTAATGAGGCTGCAGTGATGGGCACTGATAGGCTGCACTGATGGACACTGATAGGTGGCACTGATGGGCACTGATGCGGAGGCACTGGTAGGTTGCACTGATGGGCATTGACAGGCATCACTGATGGGCACTGAAAGGCAGCACTGACTGGCACTGATAGGCGGCACTGACTGGCACTGATAGGTGGCACTGATTGGCAGCACTGATAGGTGGCACTGATTGGCATTGATAGGTGGCACTGACTGGCACTGATGGGTGACATTGAAAGGCAGCTCAGATGGGCACTGATATGTGGCATTGATGTGCACTGGTATGCACTGATATGTGGCATTGATGTGGCACTGATGGGCACTGGCACGTGGCACTGATGGCCACTAGCACGTGGCACTTCTGGGGCCACACTAATCATCAGGGCACACTGATCAGTGCCCTGATGATCAGTGTACATGTCCCTCTCCTCTCCTCTCGAGCTGTCAGCGTGACAGCTCGAGAGGAGAGAAATGCCGATAACCAGCATTTCCGTGTTTACATGTGATCAGCTGTGATTGGACACAGCTGATCACATGACCGAGCCGACATCTTCGGCTCTTTTCGTGATCCGCTGTGTCCGAGGGACACAGCGCACCACCGATCGCCACGCTGCGCGCTCCCTGAGCCACGCATGCGCAGTGAGTCTGGTAGGATGTCATATAACGTCCTATCAGAACAAGAGAACCACCTTGCACCCGTCATTTTACTATAGGGCAGGCGGAAGGTGGTTAAAGAGGACCCAATGACAATTATTTTGAATTATTTTTGGCTTGAGATCCCCCTAAAATCCATACCAGACCCTTATCTGAGCATGCAGCTTAACTGGCCAGGAAAGGGGGGAGACAATTTTGTGTCCCTCCTCCTGAACCAAACCATACCATACCCTTTCCTGGCCTTCCAGGCTACATGCTTGGATGAGGGTCTGGCATGGATTTTTGGGGAAGCTCATGCCATTTAAAAATTATTTTTTGGGCATTGTGTCCCCCCTTAAAATTCTCTAAAATTCATGGCTTGTGGGGGAAACTCCATGTCTTTTTTTTTTATTATCTGGGTTGCCGGGAATCTCTGGCTGACAGAAACAATAAGCAGGTGCCACCTTCTTAACAACCAGCTAATCAGTGCTAAGAACATTACATATTTTTTTACTAAAATACCACAACATTTAAAAAAATAGCGCATGTAGTATTTTAGTAGTGTTTTTTAATGGATTAATAAAGTTTTTGAAAAATACAGAATGTGCTATATTATCACTATTTTCATGCTGTATTTGAGTTTTATATATAATGCAGCAACATCCACACAGGTAGGACACCCAATATTAGAGGTGATTTATTCGTCCAAAGCAAATACACTTTTGCACACTGGTACTGACTAGTATTCTAGTCTTTCTCTTCTCCCTCAGTTTTTCTCCATCACTGAGCTAATGTGGCCCCAGCACTGATGGAGAGGGGCAGGGAAAGGTCAAACTAGGATGCTGTGCAGGCAGCTGACATCCTCCTTATTATTATTATTATTATTATACAGTATTTATAAAGCGCCAATAGTTCGCTCAGCGCTGTACATTACAAAGGGGGACAGAACATGTGACAGAACAATACCAATACAATGCAAAACATGAGGGGATCGAGGGCCCTGCTCTTTCAAGCTTACAATCTAGGAGGGAGGGGATGGTGGCACAGGAGGAGATAGCTGTGGGGGATGGAGTGGTAGGAAGAGTGGAGGAGGTTGGCAAGTTAGCAGGGGGCGGGGTAGGCTTCCCTGAAGAGATGGGTTTTCAGGGTGCGCCTAAAGGAGAGGAGAGTAGGTGATAATCTGATGGGTTGGGGCAGGGAGTTCCAGAGGATGGGTGACACCCTGGAGAAGTCCTGGAGGCGGGCGTGGGAGGAGGAGACCAGGGAACTAGAGAGAAGGAGGTCTTGTGAGGAGCGGAGTGTGCGTGCTGGGCGGTACTTGGATATTAGGTCAGTGATGTAGTTCGGGGCAGTATGGTGGACAGCTTTGTACGTCAGCGTTAGGATTTTGAATTTGATCCGTTGCGCAATCGGAAGCCAGTGGAGGGATTGGCAGAGGGGGGTGGCGGAAACGGAGCGGTTGGAAAGGTGAATGAGTCTGGCAGCCGTATTCAGGATGGACTGAAGCGGGGATAGCCAGCGGCGAGGCCGGCCAGTGAGGAGGGAGTTGCAGTAGTCGAGTCGCGATATGATGAGGGAGTGGATGAGCTGTTTAGTGGTTTCTGGAGTTAGGAACCCTCCCCCTTATCAACTGATGATGTCATTGGTTGTCAGGATGCCGGTGACTAGAAGGTCGTAATGGTGCACAATGCAAACCTGTGGCTTTGTGTAACTAAAAGGCAGGCTTATTCCACCCGCTGGCTTGTGTACAAGTGTTGGGCAATTTTGCCAAGGCACCCCTGAAGAAACCTCAAGGCACCCCAGGGTGCCTGGGCACCCTGGTTGAGAAAGGCTGCCTTAGATCACAAACTACTTTATGGTAAGGATAATCATTGTAATTGTGTACAAATGGGATAGACAGATTTGTATCATTGACAAGGGAAATGAAATAATATACACTCTATACAAATATGAATGCTAAAATGTTCATAACAATTTAACTGATATACAGTAGAGAAATGCACACAATTTGTACACCGTGTGCAATGTAGAAGTTTATTTAAGTAATACTTCATCAGGCTCAGAGGTCACTGCAGAGAAAAAATATAAATCAAACCCTTCCAGGGTAGGTGGTTAACAAATATGCTTAAGGTGAATGATAAAGCCAGTGCCCTGTGACATGTTTCGTCGTCATTTAAAGGCAACTTTCTCAAGCGAGCTGGGCCAGAGAGGTGGCACTGCAAGATGCAGCCAGGAGGCGGAGTTTGTGATTTGAGGAATGCTGTGTGGAAACCCCATAGGTTTTGTGAAATAGAAGGGTGGCTGAACCTTGGAAGCACTACCTTGAACGAATCCTCCCATAACAGGTCGAAGTAGTTCATGTAGCAAAGTGAATTATTACTTTGCAAAGTGAATGCAAAGGAACACAGGTTAACAGTATTTGCCAACATACACATTGCAATGTGTACCATAACATTGCTGAATTTACAGCCTTTATTTTTTTTTTAGTAAATCAGCTTTTATGAATTAGGTGTTAGGTGTACTGCATACATAGAGGCAGAAGTTATTGTTGAGCTATTATTAAAAATTGAGATTTTGGGTACATCTATGTAAGATAATTCTGCATTTTCTAAAGAGAACAGGAGAAGCTCCTTACTTTGTTTTTCTGTAATTAAATCTGCATTAGATATGTGCCTTTTGCTTCGATTGTCGGACAAAAATGTCATTTTTGGAGATTCAGATATATACAAATCTCCAAACTGATATAGTAATGAATGTCAACAAATCCGAAAAAAGTTATAACAAAATTATCAAATGCATTTGTTTGATTTGTTTCATTCGGATGACATCACATGATATGATAGTAGTTTGGACCCATGGGGAAATGAATTCAATTTTCTATTGGTGGGTTGGACAACATCTAAAAATATTGAATCCATTTGATTCGAATCTGTCTGATTCAATAAAATATCAAATATATACAAGACTTCTGCAAAACTGCAAAACCTTTCTAATCCACCCGAATTTACACGGACCAACAAATTTACAAACTGAATGCAGAAGATACAAAACAAATTCCCAAAACGAATTGGGTCAAGATAAAGAATATGATAAAATGAAATTCTTCAATGAATGAATGAATCCGAAACAAAACAAAAATTTGCAGTGGGCACATGTCTAATCTGCATACGTATCTGTATAGCTCATGAAATAAGTTGGCATAAGTCTCTGTTTTGACTTTTATGCAGCTATGAAGCTATGCTGGTAATGGTGTCGATCAGCGACTTATAGTGGGACTGCGATAGTCTGGTGGACAATCTGACTCTAGCTGATGCTGGCTGGGAGGTACACTAACTATCTAACTGTCATTGACATCAATAGTGATGCTAATAAAGTCATCTGTGCTAATACTGTGCACCCTCACTGTACTAATGTCACTGGATGAGAAGGGGTTAACATCTAGAGGCAATCAAAGGGTTTACTGTGTGCCTAATAAATGTAATGTGTGTGATATGTGCTGATTTTACTAAGAGTTGGCTGTTTGCTGCTCTGTGGACAGAGCCCTCTGTTGTTTGTAAACACAAAGCTCTGTGCTGTAGTGCGATTGGACACAGCCGATCAGCAGGTCCCCGCCATAATTAATTGGCCGATACATGATGACAAAAACCCACTGTATTCAACCCCAAACCCGGAAGCAGGCTCATAACGTTTATTTACATTGCTGAGCCCAGAGCTGCCGCCCTTTCACAGCAACTCTACTGTGACTGGGAGGCAAGTGGTTAATTTGAGCTTGTAAGAGGAAGGGGAGGAATGGCTCATTCACTAGTTCCTGATTAGTAGCAGTAGATTCAGATTAGAAGGGGGGCTAATTGTGGGATGTGTACCTCTTATCTCCCTTATCCTGCACATCTGAGCATTAACCCCTTCATCTCTATATTCGCACTGTATATGACCTGTACATTAACCCCTCCTTAAGCTCTTCCTCCCTCTATGTATAACCTATACATTAATGTATCCATTGCACCATTATGAAGCTCCATGTTTTAACCCCCCACCCCCCCCCAATACCAGCATGAATCTTCATTTCCAAAACATTTTGGCAAAAAATGAGAACACCTTGGGGGGTGTATTTTGTTTTCAAAAAGGGGTAATTTGGAAGGTGTTTGTGCTATCCTGGCGTTTCAATTTTAAAAGAAGTTAAAGGAAACCTTTTTTTTTCTCTTCTTTTTTTTCTCCTGTTTACCTTATATACTGAACATTTAGAAATCCATTCATTAGTAAATACTACTAAAAGAAAGCTTTACCTATGTCCAAAACAATTATCTGAAGCTCTAGATACTGCAGATAGAAGGAAGACTGTCCATTGGGGTTTGGCAGAATATATTCTGTGAAAATGAATATTCTACCTAGGATCTTATATTTATTTATGACTTTACCAATTGGGATTTGGGAATATAGCCTTAAAGTCATTCAGAATAAGGTATTCAAATTTATATGGGGTGATAAAAGATTCAGTGTGAACAAAAGAACATTATACATTCTGAAACAATAGAGGAGGATTGGGAATACCAAATTTATTAAAATACTTCCATGCAGCACAATAGCCTCATTAAATTTTATTTGCTGCAATTGAATCAAGCATGGAAGGCAATTCCTGTTCTTGTGTCCCAAAACTGGTTAACCAATATGGATACCAAAGATAGGCGTACTTTTTTTGCCATTCCCTGTCATTTTCATTAGGTCTTTGGGACTGATTGAGTGCGACCCATACATTTAAATCTCCCTGTATCCCTTAACCCCCTAAATTAAAAAATCAGACCTTCACCGAGCCTTAACACCCCCCCCCCCCCCCCCGAATTTTGCAATGGTGTACGAATGAAGATTTTCCGAGAGTTGTGAATTTTTGTAATGTTTGGGGTATTTTGTTGAAACCAACCTTACAAGAAAAACACCTGAAGAAAATATCCCCCACACCATTGCCCCACCACCACCAGCCTAAACCATTGATACACGGCAGGATGGATCCATGCTTTCATTCTGTCTACGTCAAAATTTGACCCTACCATCTGAATGTCACATAACACTTTTTTTATAGACATTGAAATGTTATTTAGATTTGG